CTGGATATCTGTTCAAACAGCAGGAACATATTTATAACTTTGAGTCGTAGCAAAAATACAGATTTGGGCTATAAGCATGTACATCTTTCTTCTGTCCAGAGAGCCAGGTATGGATTGGACAGAGGTACCTTTGGCCTGATGAAAAGCCCTTTAAGTTTGTACTTAGATGACAACCAAAATAAACTTAAAAACCTTGAGCTTGTACCTGAACAGTAGTCACTATTTTATCATCTAACGTACTGACTAGTCTATAGTGGATCTGACTGCCTGATGCTGTCAAGCTGACAACCAGTAATATTTCAGATCTGAGAAGGGTATATTCTATCTGAATCTACTAAAAAGTGACAGAAGCTAGTCCATATACAGTTATCCATACCCAAGTTTCTCCATTACCACTGGAGGCAGCTGTCTCAAAGAACGGCAATCTTCGCCAGGCCTATAATGTGAGAGGGTTTTTTTTCTGCTCTGTGGAAGAGGGACATGGAAAAGACTGACCTTGTTTTGTCTAGGCAAAGGGGTGCAATCAATTTTCCAGTGTCCAGCAGCTTTGTCCACAGTCTCGGCCAGGTCCTGGCAGGCGGCAGGTGTCACATCTGAGCATCTCGCTCACTGTTCCAGGTGCAGGAACTGAGGTGCCTCATAATCTTCTTTGGAGACCTTGGGTCACTGTCAGGATCTGGTAGTCTGTCTGACATTATAAACTTTAAAGATAACAATTTAAATGCCATATTCTGAAGATCTCTGAAGCATTAGAGGTCTGTTTGTCTATTTTAGTTACTTGCCTTAAGCACACAAGAAGCATACAGGTGGCTAGGTAAGGTCTTATTTCTGTAATTAATTTTCAGCCTGACTGTAACTGGTTTTAACTTAGTAAAATATTTGAAACTTAGCACAGCTGAATTTAAGACTGCATAGAGTTACCTTATAGTCCTTAAATAGTAGCTACATGTACCTATTTTAGCTGCTTTGTTTAAACTTATTTCTGAGACAGTGTTTCTCTGTGTAACAGTCCTGCCTGTCCTGGAACTAACTCTGTAGACCAGGCTGGCCTCAAATTCACAGAGATCCACCCGACTCTGCCTCCAAGTGGCAGGATTAAAGGCATGTGCCATCAACGCCCTAAACTTCTGAAAACATAAACTGTAACATCTTATAATAGATTAGCAGCTTTTATAAAACAAGAACTTTACATTGTCAGGCTTTGCTTAAAAATGATTCTAAATTGAAGCTCTTTAAGTACAAACATTAATAAAAACAAACATTAAAAAAACTGGTTTTAAAAAAGAAATTTAAATTTCCTTAATGTCTTTCTGTAATATATAGAAGCATTAACATTTTAAATCTTAACTGAAAAACTTGTTTCTAAGATGGTACCCCTAATTTCCATGTGGTCACCTTTAGTCAAGATGGTGGTTTAAATATTTTTTTTTCAACTTCAGCAAAATGGCTACCAGTCAGCCATGTGACCAGTTTGCCATGTGGCTAGCGGGAACTTGCTCCATTTTATTTAGCTACATGCTTGTAACAGAACTTAGGTTGAACCAGGAAACAGAACATTTTAAAACAAGTATACATAAATTATTTGAGAAATAAGCAGAACTTTTAAAACAGAATTAGCTCAATATGGTTAAAATTTTAACTTATATTACCATTTTTAAATTTATTATTTGTAGACATGAGAAACCATAGCAAACAGTTTACATTTTTCTCTTTTAACAACCTTTTCTCTGACCTTCTACGACTTTCTTTAACTCTCTATAATTTTCTATATACCTTTAGTTTATTTCTCTTATTTTCTTAGACATTCTTAGACAAATTTCTCTTTCCCTTTCTCTCTTTATTATTTAAGTCTCCTACATTTTCCCTCATTTCTCAGTCAATATAAAAATTTTTTATCAAAGTCCCTTTCATAGTTTTTAATAACTTTAAGGCTGTTTTTTTTTTTTTTTTTTTTTGAACATCTAAATCAGACCAGATAGTTCACTCACCCGAGCTCCATGTGCTCAGGGAAGAGACCTGGGGTAGGGGTGCTGCTGGTAACTCCAGACTCTCGGCCAGTGCGGGGGTGGGAAAAAGACCCCCACGGCCCCCCTGCATACCATGTGTGTGTGGAGCACAGAGACGGCAGATGGCGGCCTTGCAGCCATGTTCCCTCAGAGCAGGGAAACTGCCCGCAGCAAGCCAGGACCCATGGCAGGATGGCAGCTGGGGCAGAGACAGCCCCACTTCGCATGCCTCACAGACCCGCAGGTGGGGATAGAAAAACTCACCTACATCGGCCAGGCTCAGCTGTGAGTGCCGCAGCAATGGTTAGAGTTCAGAGCAGCAGCCTCAAGAGGACTCTGCTGCAGCACACTCTAAGCCTAGCCTGTGGTGCATGGCAGAGAAAGTCCTGTCCCACACCACGTGCTCATGGCAGCAAGGAACGACCCCTGACCCATGCATGCCATGTCCCTGGGCAGTAGGGACAGAAGGAGTTGTTGAACATAGACTAGGGTCCTATTCGGAATTTCAGTCCCTTCACTTCCAAGTGCTGGGATTACAGGCATGAGCCACTACCCCCTGGACAAGTAGGGGATTTTTTTATGACTGATGAGTTTGGGAATTTGAAAAAAAAAATGAGTTAAGGTAGTCAGCACAATGAGACCAATGACCTCATTCTCCCTCTGAGGCCAAAGAGAACCTCAAGTGATCCAAGATGATATGCCCTCCACGGAGGAAAGAAGACTGTAAGGGGTGTCACTCTCACACAGCTCTCACTGAGTTTTAGCTTTTCTCTGTGTGTGTGTGTGGGGGGGAACTATCAGTTAAAGATACTAATGTGAAGAGTTCTGGAGTCATCTGAGACAGTCTCAATTGAGGCACTGCTCGGGTTCCACTGGCCTGTTGCCATGTTTGTGATGATTGGCGTAGGAGTGGGAGCAGTTTGTGGTGTGGGAGACTCTGGCCGTATAAGAAAGCGAACTGAACAAAAGCCAGGAAGAAGCATTCCTCCACACTATCTCCTTCAGTGGCTGCCCGGCTTCCCTCAGTAATGGATTGTGAACAGGAAGTGTAGGCCAAATACCCCACCCCAAGTCTTTTGATCAGAGTGTTTTCTCATAGCTATGGAAAGCAAACTAGAAAACAGAGTCTGGCCTATGCAGAGCAGCTGCTCTGCTGCTGAGCTACATTTGCAGCCAACTTCTTCTTTATCTTTTGCTGCTGTTGTCTTTGTTTTGAGGTGGAGGCTGTAGTCCTCAAGCTAGCCTCTTAGAATCAAGCAATCCTCTTGCCTCAGCCTCCTAAACAGTCTCTCAGTTGAGGCTGCAGTTGCAGGCCACTACAGTCTTTATTTTTGTAAAGTAAACACTAAAAAGTCTGAAAGATTTTAAATCTTTCTTAGTTCTGGAAGAAAGAATCAAGAAAAAAAATCATTATAGTATACTAGCCTCATTCTTGTTTCTCTGTTTCCAGCTAACTAATTAGAGCAATTGAAAATCAGCTAGATAGTAATAATAACTAATCTTTCTAGGACACGGATTACACAGAATATATGCTTGGGTGTTGTGCTCATGACTATGTCTTCTTCCCTAGGCTGACACAGATAACCTTGACCATTACACTAATGCATACGCTGTGTTCTACAAAGATGTCAGAGCTTACCAACAGCTATTGGAAGATGGTGATGTTATTAACTGGGACCAAGTTTTTCAAATACAAGGTCAAGTTCAAAGCATACATTATACACTCATATTTTCCTTTTTTATCATGTACACCAGAGAGGTATAGCAAGGCCTATCATGGAGACTGGAGAAATAGCTCAATTGTTAAGTTCTCACTGTTCTTCCAGATCAGAGTTCAGTTTCTAGCACCAATATTAGTGTTAGGCAGCACACAGCCACCTGTGATTTCAGGGATTTGACACCATCTTCTGGCCTCTGTGTCAGTGTCCTCATGTGTTCCTGTTCTCTATTACTCTCTCTCTCTTAAAAGATATTACATAAATGTACAGTATATAGAGGTAGAAACTTAAGAGACAAGTCCATATATACTTAAGATATACTTGAGTTTTATAAAGTAACTATTTTTATACTAGAGTGTGTATGTTGTCTTTGACTTTGACCACTTATTTTTATCTTATAGAGAAAAATCTTTTTAGTGTTGGGTATGTGGACACCTACTTGTAATCCCAGTGCTTGTGAGGTAGAGGCAAAAGGATCCCAGTTTAAGGCCTGCCTAAGTCACACGGACTACATATAAAGCACACTGTTTCAAAACACAATAGAACACAAACCTTTTGATTACTTAGATATAACTCAGTCTTGTAATAAGGGATACTAACCATTACAGCTGTAATTTTAGTAGCATTAACTTGTAAAGTTCCTAGTCTTTACTGAGGCTTAGCTCTCAGAGGAAGGTGTCAAGGTTCAGTCATCACACAATGTTCAATATGCCTTCTCACCTAATTGTAGCCTCAAGGCCATACTGAGAAGTAGCTCACAATGGGGAGGAAAACAGAGTTCCATAGTGTAACTAGAAGAGACAAAGTCAAGTTACAGGGAGTTCTGTCCACCAAGAGTCAGACTGCAAAGACTAGAAAATAGGGTCTTAGAGAGAAGTGTAATGCTGTAGCTCTAAGAACACAGCACTTGGGAGGCAGAGGCGGGTGGATCTCTGTGAGTTTGAGACCAGCCTGGTCTATCAGAGCTAGTTCCAGGACAGCCCCCAAAGCCACAAAAAAACCCTGTCTTGAAAGGCAAAAAAAAAAAAAAAAGAACAGACCAAACCATGGGGACTTGGAGAGAAGTATAATGTTGTTGCTCTTAAGAAGAGACGCCAAACCAAATCATATTTTTGTCCACTGGGGCAGGGGATAGTTCCCAGAACACCCTTAAATAAATATCAAACAAAGAGGTGTAAATAATGTAGTGTGGCTGTGAGAAATGAGTGGGGCCTGGGTGGTTAGCTGAGCTCAAGCTTCCAAGCCCAGGATACAACTGGAAGACCATGATGGACACTGTGGAAATGGACAAGAAACTTTAAAATTTCCTTGTATTCTAGACTCATCTCTGTGGATGATAAAACTATGACAAACAATAATTTAGGGGAAAAGGGAGTTTATTTCAGCCTTCAACTCCAGGTCATCATCCATCCCTGGGGGAAAGTCAAGGCTCTAACTTCCAACATTACATCCATAGTCAAGAACAGAGAAGCAAGCTTCTGCATATACATGGTCACTTACTAAGCTGCTTGCATTCAGTTTCATTCCTCTGCTCTTAAACACTTTAGGCACAATGCCTGCTGAATGGTGCCACCCATGGAGGGCTGGTTCTCGCCACATCAGTTAACTTATTAAGACAAAACTGCACAGACCTGCCCACAGGCTAACCCCAAGGTAGTCAATCCTTAGTGAGACTCTTTTCCCAAGTGAGTCTGTGTTGTCAAGATGAAATTAACCATCACACCTTACCTAAATAACATTTCAACTCTTATAAACAGTTGATTTTTAATTTTAAAGCTATAAGTACAAAAAAGACAATTCTCTTCAAGAAATTTAATCTGAGGCATTAAGAATATTAACAAATAAAACTTCCAGTAAGAAATTCCAAACTCTCTTGAGATATTTCCAGCAGAAGTGGAAAACCATGACTGGTGATGACAACATGATTTCATTTGTAGATCAACTAGAGAATACCTGTATTAATACATATATTACTAACTATATCATGGTTAAGACATGATAGGGTATCAAACCGTGGTATTGATGACATTTGGCATACAACTGCTGAAATAAATGACTGTGGTTTTGTGTCTTTCATTATCCAGGGTTGCAAAGTGAATTATATGCTGTTTCCAAAACTGTTGCCAATGCAAAGCTATTGGATTTGGATATAAAGCTGGCTTCCTTCAAGGCTGTCCATTTTAATCCTGTTTCATCTGTGCCAGACCACAATTTCCTGTATGTAAAACAAGTACTACATTTGGGGACGGATTTACTATTATGGAAGTCCCACCAACAATGTTAGAATATTCTTATTATTTTTCTGAAAATCAAATTTGTGTCTTCGTCTATAGTCAGTGAGCTCATGAAAGCTGCATTTTCATAGTCTGTAGAGCACACATAGAAAAGTCATTTCTTGGTTCCCTCGTTTGTGATATAATTCTAAATAATCCCTGAGATCTGAGTCTAGGGTTGTTGAGGTTTATGATGTTTAAAGCTAGCGGTGTATTACTGATTTTTGTTGAGCTTTTAAGGACACAGGACTACATGATTTAAATATATCCCTCTCCCTTTCTGTCTTTCTTTTCTGTCTGTCCTTTACAGTAGAACCATCATGATTCCATTTTGAACATAGTTGAAATAAAACACACAAGTGAGTTCTGAGGCCAAGAACTGATCACAGGAAGTTTAGCTTTAGGTGGTCCTTGAGAACACTGTCAGTGTGTGGGTCTGCATTGCCTCTTCTTTCTTTTTTGGAGGTCTTACATCACTAGCATCTTCCTTTTAGCTTATGCTTCCTAGACCTCAATCTCTTCTCAAGAATTGGGGTCTAAGAGCGGGAGAGGTAGTGAAAGACCCCCGCAGAGGTACTTTCGTAGAAGGAGACCCGCACCCAGGAATCAGCGAGAACACGAACTTGGATGCAAAAAGCAAGAGGCTTTATTAGAGACTCGGGAACCCGGGGCGGCTTAGCTTCTGTTAGGCCAAGCGC